GGAACACACAAGAATTTACGTGGTTCACCCAATTGGGCTACGTCCACAAACAAGTATAGAAGGATTTTATTAAGTAATGTGAGAATTACAACCTCTCTCTAATAATAGGAGAACAACTAAGAATCTCTCTATTATTAGGAGAAAACACCTCACTTACTCTATCACAAATACCTCACAATTTTGTGGGATTACTCTCTCTTCACTCTCTTCTTCTTCTCTCTATTTTGGTGTGCATATAGGCTTGAATGCATTGCCTATTTATAGGCAAGAGTGAGGGTATAATGGTCATAAATTTAGGAGGAATATATGCCTAACAACTCATCCTCCACTCATACTCCACCAATTACAACTCATCTCCCACTCAAATCCCATCAATTATGCCACCTAATTAAATGGCTTTACATCTTCCATATGCTCTTTCTTTTGATTTTTTGTTGTTTGAGATTTTTTTTTTATTCATGCTAGATCTGCGCTCCAAAGCCCTCTCTTCCTTCTCGAAAGCACTGATCTAAAGCTTAAGCCATCGCTCACGATCAAACCACTGTTAATTTTTCAACCTCCACAGATCCATACAGAGATAAAATCTTAAATCTATCATGGAGAGTCACTCGGGTCTCACTCGGGTTTGTCTGGGTTTCCCGAGTCATGGATCGACCCGTCGGGTCGATGGGGTTTTAACGGGTCGCTGTACCTGCTGGTCTTTTGAAAAAACCCGAACTGGTCCAGCCACTGGGTCAACTCGCCAGGCTGGTCCAGATTTAATAACTATGAACTCAACCAGTTTAGTGAAATTAATCAACCGGGTATAACAAGAAAAATCTAAAACATACCAAAACTAGGGGACTTGACCTAATAATTTTTTTGATATTTAAAAATCTAACAATTTACATAATGATATAGTAGCTATAATAGAGAAAATGACCTCCAAAATTTTTTATAAAAATTTAAGTATAATTTAACAGTTGAATAAAAAATTATAATATTTTAAATTATTATTTTAATTTGATACGATCAAACCTTCTTTTAAACCTAAACTTGTTTCACTAATTCATAAATATATCAATTAGGTCATTCAAGTAATCTTTTTAGAGCATGTCCTCATGTAATAATTGCATACTCATACCGAATTACTTAGAATTATCCATTAATATGTGAATAATAACTTTTTAAAATTTTAATTAAAGTTTAATTTTTAGTTTACAAGTATGATAAAAAAAAATTCAACTCATAAAACATATTTTGAAGAAAAACTTCTTAAAATTATGATTTTTGTGCAAAAAAGTCAATTAATTAATACAATTAGATTTAATCGGTTAACCAATTAAGGTAGAAAATTGAAGTTTGATTATGCCACACTTTAAAAATACAATATTTATTAAATATCACTATTTTTTAGTGTGATAACTATTTTGTTGTTCTTCATAATAGTGATATCTTATTTCTTTTTGAAATAATAACATTTAATAAATATTATATTTTTAAAATGTGATATGATAAAATTATATTATTTTATTGAATTTGTTTGAAATGGTGTTATTTTATTAAAAAATTTCTTTTACTGGGATAACTTTTTTAAAAAATTCATATATCAATTTTCTATTAGACGGTGGGATGTGGATATATGTTCAAATTTTTATACCGTATGGTTTAAGTATTTTATCCTTTTTTAATTGCAATTATTCCACAAATAAACAAACAATACACGCAGCAGATGAAAATAGCATCTCAAGAAAATTTAGTACCGGGGCAAAACGATATTAACCCCCACATAAATCAGCTTAAACTATTAAATAATAACCTAATATATTATATATATTAACTATCAACCCCTTCATCTTCATGCAATTAGACTTTACCTTAAAGATTTGCATAAGAATTGATTATGATGTCAGCTGATTTTGATGAATTCCGACGTAATTATGGTATAAATATTGGTCCCTCCTCCACCATTGCTATCCCAAATCAAGAAAAAGTCAAGAAAGAAAAGATCCAAGCATTCTCTAGAACATTAAATCAACAAATTAAGTAAAGGTTAAATAATAACATATAAATACAGCTCAGAATTGAGGGACATGATCATGTAAATTCAAGCCCTCCAAACTGCCGATAGAGCACCACCTTGTCTCATTTTCACAGGAATTAAATTACTCGAGACTCCCACCATGGCCCGCCTGTTATCATGCCTGAAAGAAAAATATCTCAATTATTTTAATTCCACCCGACAATGATTTCCACCTGTCAAGATCTTGAGCCATTCAGGACACAAACTTGTTCGATCTTTAACACCTAACATGATATAAAAACCCACTTCCGGTCCCTCACTAACCTTCACACCATTTCTTGATAATCAGCTCGTCTCCGTCACTGAGCGTGCTTTGTGCTCCTCTCCGATAACAAAGCGTTACTCCTGGAATACCCTTCTTTTGAGTTCACAAGAAAAGAAAAGGAAAACCCTGCTTGCTAAGCCCTCTTGGTCTTCCAAGCTTGAAAGCAGAGTTTCTTGCTCGGCTAGCAGCAAGAGATCCTTTTTTTTTTTTATTGGTGAGTTTTTATGAATATCTTGATGGGAACTTATCTTAATTCCTTTGCTCTCGGAGAAACTAGTCGGCTTGTTTCTATCAAAATAGACATTGCTAGTTTTCATGGTGCTCTGATATTGGAAGAGGCATGATAGCTTCCCGGCGAAGTCCTCTTAATTTCTCATCTACATCTGCTTAATCTGGCGTTGGTGATTAAATTGGAACAAAAACTAACTCTATTTTAAGCTTAAAACATTCATGAATCAGAAATCAAGAATCACTGCGATTCTTCAATTTGTTTAAGCGTTTGTTAATTGAAGTTATTTAATTAATTACCTCTCTACCTTCTTTTTTTTCCCTTTCCTGCTTCGATAAATTTGTTTAAGCTTATGTTAATTGAAGTTATTTAATTAACTAGCTCTCTACCTATTTTATTTATTTTTTTCCCTCTCCTGCCTCAATACTGCCATTTTGAAGCTTTCTTCGAGCTGCTTGTGCTCTCAAATCATAATTATCAACTTTGTCACTGTCATAACCCAATTTTTGACTAACTTCATTTTTTTTATTTTACTATATATAAGAGTTTTGTTTCGGCTTTTGGATGTGAAATTTTGAAGTTTGTTTCTGTTCTTGAATCCACAGGAAAAATGGCTTTACAGCTAAAAGCGAACCACAAACAAACAGAAATGGGAGTATGAAACCATTGTGGTCCTCTGTCTTTACTGCTCCCCACAAATCCACCCTTTTCTTTATTTTTAATTTCCTTTTGAAGTCCTTTATTTATTGTGTATTTTCGCAGAACTCCTTGAATTCTATCTAATTTTCGAACAACACCCCCCACAGAAATCCGAGAGGGATATTTTTGTTCTTTTTCCATAAAAGGCTAAAACCCCGACTAACCGAAAACTCCAAAAACTTAGATTTATTTCGCTGTCCTATCCCCAAATATAAATGTATATGTAAGTTTTTTTTTCCTAATACCGATTTAACGTCTATTTTTTGTTTTTGGAGATACTCAAACATCCCATTAGATTTGATTCTTTGTATTTTTGAACCATTACTTGGAAAGTAACGTAAAAGATTAATTGGTTTCTAGTTTGTACATATTTTATGGTAAGTGAGAGAAGGAAGGAAAGACAGAAATGATGAGGATTGCAAGAATCCAACAACAGCAGCCACTTAAGTGGATACCTTTGTGGAAGTGGGGTGGAAGGATTTTCAACAATTTTCGCAGAAACCATCGAAAAGCTGAACTAGCATCCTTATAAATTACCCTTTTCCTCGCATTACCTTCCAATCAAGAATCACACAACCCCTTTAGAATCATATTTAGTAGGCAACCATTTTATACCCTTTTGAATTTTTTGGTCACTCAATCTTCTTGGGTTGGGTTGGGTTTCTTCTTCTTACTATTTATTTTTGGGCTGTGCAGTAACTAAGTGTAAGACAGCAACAATGACGGTGACACCAATGATTTCAATCAATGATGGGAACCTCGTGGTTCATGGGAAGACAATTTTAACTGGAGTTCCTGATAACATTGTTTTGACTCCTGGCTCTGGTGTTGGACCTGTTGCTGGTGCTTTTATTGGTGCCACCGCTTCTCATAGCAAAAGTCTCCATGTTTTTCCTGTTGGGGTTTTAGAGTAAGCATCTCCTTTCATTGCTGATGATGTTAGAATAATCCGTATATATATATTTTTAATTTCGTTTCAAAAATCGTGCAATAAATTAGAAGTTAAAAATTGTGTTTAGTTAAATTTTTGTTGGTGAATATAAGACATAATGGCTTGATGCCCGCGGATGGTTTGTTTTAGTTTACATTTAGTCACGCGGACTAAGACTAAGTAATAGTTTGATGATGGATATGCGGATGGTTTTTGAATTCTTGGAGACGCTTACATTCAATTTTGGTGGCAGGGGTCTTCGTTTTATGTGTTGTTTCCGATTCAAGTTATGGTGGATGACCCAGAGAATGGGGAAGTGTGGGAAAGATATTCCACTGGAGACTCAATTCATGCTAGTGGAAAGCAGGAGTGGTGGTGAAGAAGTTGATCAAGATGATGCACAGACAATCTACACTGTTTTCCTTCCCTTGCTTGAAGGCCAGTTCCGTGCTGTACTGCAAGGCAACGACAGGAATGAGATGGAGATTTGCCTTGATAGCGGTGAGTTGATTAAAAGTGTCTGTGTAAACTTATATGCACCTGCCCATGAGTGTAATCCTTTTTAATCTAGTCTCATTCCATCGGCTGGTATTGAATGAGACCACAACACAGACTTATGGGTTGTACCTGTCATTAGTCACCATATTGCATATGGCAAAAACTACTGTTAGTTCAGTCCCATCCTGCTGGCCATTAGTGAAGCAGACTAAATTCTGAAATTCTGGGTCGGAGCTCATGGATGCGAACACTATCAGGCTGGAGAATCAGTCAATTACTCCACCATTCAAATGAATCAATTTTACGGAGTGCATTTCAATTGGAAGAAATAGATAGAAAGGAACGAGTTTGAAAGAGCCGAAACGACATGTTTTTTTTTCGTGGTTTGGTGTGGTTTTGCAGGGGATAGTGCTGTTGAGACCAATCAAGGACTTAACCTGGTCTACATGCATGCTGGGACTAACCCCTTTGAAGTCATAAACCAGGCTGTCATGTGAGCTCTAGACTTTACCTTAATCCAAACTTGCATTGAGTTTCAATTTTAGCTTGTAATCACCATTTCCCTAACAACTTATGAAAACAGGGCTGTGGAAAAATATATGCAAACTTTTCTTCATCGGGAAAAGAAAAAGGTAAGTGATTTATTTTTTATTTTTGAGTATGTTAACTCCATTTTTAATCAAGTTCGGTTGTAAGTTCATCATTTCAATCTAATGTTGTGTTCTGTTGATCTTGCGCAGCTGCCCTCTTTTCTTGACTGGTTTGGCTGGTGTACTTGGGATGCCTTTTACACGGATGTCACCGCTGAGGGTGTCAAGGAAGGCCTTGAGAGGTAATTCAGAAATAATATGGGACATTGAATTAGATCCTGATCATACATGAAATAGAGACTTAGATCTACCAACACTGAGATTGAATGACTAAATTGGTTCCTATTGTGACTGCAGTCTGTCAGAAGGAGGGACTCCCCCGCGATTTTTGATCATTGATGATGGTTGGCAACAGATCGAAAATAAAGCGAAGGAGGATGCTAATGTTGTTGTACAAGAAGGAGCACAGTATGGACTCTATATTTCTCTCTTACACAGGCACACACTTGTGGAGATGGCCCAAGTGTCGGGATGCTAAATGAAAAGTTAAAAATAATAATAAAAATATATTATTTTAGCTTCTTAAAACTTATTTTACAAATAAAATGCTATTTTTTCATTTTTCTTACAAAAATATCACTCCTACATGTATTGCAAAAATGATAAAATAATATTGATTGTAATAGTGGTTTTTTTCTTTGATTTTTTTTAAATCCATGATTTTTTAGTTTGTTTTTTATAATACTATCTTATTTGACGACTTGTGCTTGGAAAGTTTATTCGGGTTAATTTAGTTATTTTTTTATTGTATTTTAATTAATTTTTTAATTTTATTTTTTAATATTAAAATAATTAAGAACCGTTTGAGTGATATTTAGATATGTTAAGTCAATAAATCACATCGAGTTATTAAATCATATATATTACTAATTTGATTTTTCTAAATAGCATCTCCAACGAGAGATGCTCTTAGGCATAATGCGCTAGCTGGGAAACTTTTCTAGAATAATAGTTATCCATTTTGATGTTATCGTGATTTTGCTGATAATATCTAATTACTTGAGTGCTTGCAACTTTCTTTGTTGAAGATTTGCAAGTAGGCTTACTGGAATAAAGGAGAATTCGAAATTCCAGAAGAACTGTGAAAAGAACGAGCAGGTGATTGGACTGAAGCATGTTGTGGACGATGCTAAGCAATGCCACAATGTGAAGTGAGTGATCTTAGTTATATTTGAACTATCTATTTGCTACTGTACCAGCGGCCCACTTTCATGAAAATTTTTACCTTAATAAAGAAGGGTTGTCTACAGTTCCCTTTGGTGCAGGGGATGTTAGTATCATGCATCCACAAGATAAAGAAGGGAAGAGGATTAGCTCAAAGCAGGATATAATTTTTTTATTTCTCATTTTGCTTTATTTTCTGTTACAGGTATGTTTATGTATGGCATGCTTTGGCTGGTTACTGGGGTGGAGTTAAACCAGCAGCTGCTGGTATGGAGCATTATGATACTGCACTGGCTTATCCGGTTCAATCTCCTGGTGTTATAGGCAACCAACCTGACGTTGTTATGGACAGCCTATCAGTTCATGACCTTGGTTTAGTGCATCCAAAGAAGGTTTTCAACTTCTACAATGAGCTCCATGCCTATTTAGCATCATGTGGGGTTGATGGAGTAAAAGTTGATGCTCAGAACATTATTGAAACACTTGGTGCTGGCCATGGTGGAAGAGTGTCTCTCACCCGTAGCTATCACCAAGCTCTTGAGGCCTCAATTGCAAGAAACTTCCCTGACAATGGATGTATTGCCTGCATGTGTCATAACACTGATGGAATCTATAGTGCCAAGCAGACTGCTGTAGTGAGAGCTTCTGATGATTTCTATCCTCGGGATCCTGCTTCCCACACCATCCATATCTCCTCTGTGGCTTACAACACTCTATTCCTTGGCGAATTTATGCAACCAGACTGGGATATGTTCCATGTAAGTGAAAATGAATCAATTCTGTTCCTGTGAGGTCATCAATTTTTGTCCTGATTGTTTTATATACAACTCTTTAGTGGCGCTGTAAGTAGTTTTGATTCATCTATGTAACATGGAATCCATGGTTTGCAGAGTTTACACCCAGCTGCCGAGTATCATGGGGCTGCTCGTGCTATTGGTGGATGTGCAATCTATGTCAGGTATTCTTTTTGTTGTTAAAATTATCTTCTGTTGCCTATCATTTGAAAATATGAAACATATCACAAAGTTCTGACATGGCGATCCTGTGCAGTGATAAACCAGGGAACCACAACTTTGACCTGTTGAAGAAGCTGGTCCTCCCTGATGGATCTGTCCTCCGTGCCCAACTTCCAGGCCGGCCAACACTTGACAGCCTCTTTGCTGACCCAGCAAGAGATAGAACTAGGTGTGTTATTTCTTCTTTGCATGGTGGTCATCTCTATCTTTTACTTTCTCCTCCATTTAAAATCCTCATCCTGGATATCATTTTTGCAGCTTACTCAAGATCTGGAATGTGAACAAATGCACCGGTGTAGTAGGTGTCTTCAACTGCCAAGGTGCGGGGTGGTGCAAGATTGAGAAGAAGACCCGCATTCATGATGAAACTCCAGGTACCCTCACGGGCTCTGTTTGTGCCAGTGATGTTGATTGCATTGCAAAAGTTGCTGGTGCAAAATGGAATGGGGAAACCGTGGTGTATGCCTACAAATCAGGTAATTACTCGACTTGTCCTTCCTAATATAAATTGACTCCTAGAGAGTTCAAATGTCAGTAATGCAATTTAATATGCTAGCCTTGGCCCTCTGTATATGAATGGTAAACAATGCCTGTGGAACTTCCGGGTCTAAATCATGTTAACGTGTTCCTGTGCCTTTTGGATTGCAGGGGAGCTGGTTCGGTTGCCTAAAGGTGCTTCAGTGCCAGTGACACTGAAAGTTCTTGAATATGAACTCTTCCATTTCTGTCCTATCGATGCGAGTCTTTCTCAAACTGATTTTTTTTTTTTCTTTGCTGTTGCCGTATTTTAATTAGACAACCATGATTCACTGAATGATCATGCTATCAATGATGCAGGATATCGCTTCCAACATTTCATTTGCACCAATAGGCTTGCTTGACATGTTCAACACAGGCGGTGCTGTGGAGCAGGTTGAAATCCATATGACTTCTGACAAGGCGCCAGAGCACTTTGATGGTGAAGTCTCCTCAGAGCAGACTACTTCTCTCAGGGAGAACCGGTCTCCGACTGCAACCATTGCACTGAGAGTCAGGGGCTGCGGACGGTTTGGTGCTTACTTTTCCCAGCGCCCTCTAAAATGCACTGTGGGCAATGCTGACACTGACTTCAATCATGACTCTGCCACTGGGCTATTGACCATGACTCTCCCTGTAGCAGAAGAGGAAATGTACAGATGGCCTGTGGAGATACAGGTTTAAGCAGATTGAAGTAATGACATTTTATTAATATCGAGTGGAATATCACCATTCTTAGGAGGGTGTCCTGCATGCATGGAGGTAGGGATGATGGCGGCGCATGACTTGCAAAAGTGATGGATGTAAATTGCATAGCATGGAGTGAGAGAGACCCCCTTGCATTGATGAATAACCAATGGGCATGATATTGCTGTATTCCATTTATCAATAATAGAAGTTCCTTTCTTTCTATATTTCCACTGTGCTATCTTAGTTACCATGGTAACTGCTGTTAGCCCTCTCGTTGCTAAGAAAATGTGACAAAACAGTGGCCATGTGGATATGGGCTTAGAAAATCCACAATCCTTGAACTGTTTGTTTTTTTAAACAATATTAAAATGAAAAATATATTAAATTGATATTAATTTAACAGCTTGACTGCATCATGAACTTTATCAATTTTATCTAGTTTAATAATATATTTTAATTAAAAATATAATACCAAAGATATAAAAATATTTTTTTAAAAAATAAAACTAGAAAAACAAAAAAAAAATAAGGGCATGGCTTGAGTGACCAAGCACACCCGAGCTTTTAAGAGATAATATGTCACATGTCTGTATAGATTCTAGCCACTGCAATGGTGGCTGGAAATTGAAGAATTTTTTTTTAAGAATTTTTTTGTTCTTTAAAAATAACTAATAAAAATCTTAACTTTAAAAAATCAATTTCTAAAAAATAATTTAAAACACAAAGTCAAATTAAGTAATATTTGTATTTCTCAATCTTTGTTCCTTGATCTTTAATTGCTGAAATCAGTGTTAACCAATATTATATATTTCGTTGTTAGAATTTAAAGACCTTTTTCTTTTATCTTTCAAAACCAGTGACTAAAATAATAAGAAAAATAAGATTTTGAATTAAAATTAAAATCACAAAAGTTATAGAGATTTTCAAGGGAGAAAAGGTAAGAGGATTAAAACGAACCTTTTCTTTAATCTTTTTATTAGCTAGTAGATTTCTCTTTGTTTTCCTCTTTTGTCTCATTTGTTTTAGTTTTGTCATTCCTTAACAAATTTTGACTTATTGGCTATTAATATATCTATTAAATGTTATAATTGAAAACAAAAAACCATAGGAATTAAAAAAAATTTGTTGGTTGAGCTACAATGAAATACTCAGGGGTTCTAGTATATTTAGCATATATATGTATATATAAAATTACACTTATAAGTCGAGCCTTTTTGGTTCTCAACAAATTCATTCCACTAGAAATCTTACACCTTTATAACAGGTTCAAAACATCTTTAGTTCATTAGATATTGTAATAACTAAATTATATTTTTGTTAATTTACCCATAATCATTAATTAAAACAAAATCTATATAAGAGATCATAAATACACTATCCATGCACTCAAAATCTATAAGAGATCAGGAATACACTATAAATTTATTATTTTGCCCTCCACAAGTGAAACCATATAACTAGCTTTGAGGGATAAAATGTTTTTTTCATGAAACCATTTGTCATCACAAGATTTAATGAAGGTAGAATGACTTTTTAACTTTTTATCTACATAGTGTAATAAATAAAATACCCTTTAAAGTTAAACTTCTTTCACTGTTTGGGCAGAGGCATTTTAAGTTTTTAAACTTTCTTAGCACAATATAATTACTACAATACTTTTAGAATATAAAAAACTATATCTTAGGTCAAGGGCTTTTTGATCCTTTTGTTATGGTTTTTTAATCAATATTATATGAAGTTAGGGGTATGTAGGTATTTTGATAAATAAAGTAAAAGAAAAAATTTTTGGCGCCTTCAATGCACATGCTATCATGTAAGAGGCACGAGCAGCAACTCTCGATGATAAAAACAAACAACTATTATTATTTCTACCGATGATTTATATAGAGGTACATCCATGAAAATGACACATATGAAGCTTTTTATGATGGTTAGGCGGTGTTTGAATTTTTCCTCCCTTTTTTTTCTCTATATTCCCCTAGAAAAAAGTGTTAACCCAACCAAGAATAATAGTTGTCCTCTATTTTTTTTATTCTAATTATGCTCTTTAATCTTTTGGTTGCTATCTATTGTTTTGAATATTTTTTTTTTTTGAATTTCATCCCATAACATTTTATCCTATTTGATATTTATATCAAATTTAGTCTCATTCTTTTTATTATTTTTTTAATTGTTTTCAATTATATCTCTTATCATTTGATTTAATTTAATTTTTATATTAAGTTTGACCTTATTCTTTTAATTTATTTTTTCTTTGTTTTATTTTCAATTTATTCCTTTAATATTTGGTTTATTTAGAATTGAGCTTTGTTAATTTTTTTGATGCAGTAATCTCAGTCTCAAGACCCGGGTTACGTATATGAAATTTTAACTCAGATTGATATCGATCTTTTTTATATTTTTTTTTCACTAACTTTATTTTTTAATTTCATAATTCAACATTAATTTTATTGAAAATTAAGAATATTTATTATTATGTTTTTAATTTCTATGATGATAACTCGACCTCACAGTCCGGGTCACATTTGTTATGCTAACTTGGATTGACTCGATATTTTTATATTATTTTTTTTAATTTTTATATTAAATTTATTTGTTATTATTTTAATTTATTTATTTTTAAATTAATTTTTATCTTTTAATATTAAATTATTTAGAATTGAACTCTCTTATTTTTTTTATGTGGTCAACCTTGTCCCATGACCTTATGAGTATGACATGTTAGTCCAGGTAGACACTAGTTTTTTTTTTTAATTTTTTTACTCCAATCTCTCTTTCTATTTTAATTTTTAACTTTGAGTTTATTAAATTTTTATTTTTTTATGTTTTTTATAAGAATGCCCTAATTTTGTGATCTGATCACCAGTTTGTTATGCTAATTTGGAAGGGATCAAAAGCTTTTCTTTTTATTTTTCAATTTATTTTCATTTTAGTTATTTAGCATTAGAGTCTCATATAGTTTTTTTCGTTTTAAAACATACTTGCAGCCCTTTAACTTTTTTTTTTTTAGGTTATGAAATAAATCGAATCGGCAGCAGCAAAATACAAGCCAGCCATCTAGGTTTTTACTGTTCTTTCACTTGAATATATATATATATATGGGCTGGACACAGGCTTATAATGCCAACCCATTTATGTCCTCGTGGACTCTATAACATAAAGTCCAAACAAAACCCTAGCAAATTTCTCAATTCTCACCAACGTTTCTCGGCTCCCCTTTCATTACAAAACCTTAGTAGGAAGGTGCCTCTGCAAATTTACTCTCTGCTTTTGCTTCCGATACTTCATTGATTCCCTCTTCTTCTTTTTTTGTCCTCCTCTTTTTGATCTGTTGTCATACTTCTTCCTTCTTCTCTTTTTGGTTTTACTCTGTTCTCATAATAAAACCTTTTTTCGATTTTAATCTTCCTCTGAAAAACCTTGGTTATTTTATCAACTTTTCTTCTACTTCGACTAGTTTAGGCTAGGTCGAGTCGACTTACCGAACCACTCCAAATCTATAACTATGGCAAACTATGCATGAGAAAAGATATGGGCTCCATTAATGGTGACGAGGTCCAACAGGTCTCTTCTAAATTATGAATGATGATCAATGCTGATACAATTTCTTTTGTATTTATGCCCCATTAATGTATGGTTTCATAAGTATGTTTAAATGGTTGTTAAATTAGGTAAGTTTTCTCTTTCTTAACGTTTTCTTATCTGTGAAAGTTTCATTGACGTTGAAACGAAATCCACTGGCGAAACAAGTTTTGGCTGATGTAAGAAAAATTCATTGCGTTCAACTTCCCCGGCCAGTCCCTTTCTCCTGTAAATAAACATTTAACCCTGTCTCTATCTGGCTTGTCATCATGTGGATTGCTTAGTGATTGATAAAAGTCGATGTTTATGCTCTTAATTGATTAAACTGTCAAGTATGATCATTATACAGTTACATCAGTGCCTTACCTTGTTCAAGTTCCCAATTGTATCTGTGTCTAAAAAATCATCCTCTGCTCACTCGAGGGCCCACTAATACAGGTGGCGATCCCAGATGGGATGCTAAGCTGTGTTCCATTAACCTAACATGCCCCTTTATCTGGAAAATCATTCCCATAATTTGTCTAGTCATTATTGGTATTAAGAGAGACGATACAAGTGTGTAGAACTCAACATGGGGGCGCTGGTATTAAAGTCTTGCATTTCATGATTCCATGGAGACTAACACCTTAGAAAGTTTAGTCATCAACAAATGTTCTCTACACCAAAGTTATTCCCCTCCACTACTCTAGACAAATAGAGTACGAAAGCATTAAGTTAGCCATATCTACACACATTTCAAGGTCAGATGACGACATATCAAAATCTGACACGTACCAATCCTATAAACCCACATGCAAGAGACAATTATATTTACTCCCAGATCAAACCCTAGCCAGAATCATATCGGGTTGATGTACACGCACACACGAAATATACAACCCTCGGTGTCCCCAGCTCCTCTTGATAACCTTGTTTGCAAGAACTAACAACATATGCAACGAACCAGATGAGTGTCATCAGCAACAGCCGCAGCAGAGCGAGTAGTATGATCAGGAATATTTAGGGGCACATGAGGAAAATTAGGATAATCACCAGCAATCTTTCGTGACCTAATTCTAAGCAGTTTGATATCATGTTGAAAAGTGTGAATTCTATATATAATTCTTAATGTTACAGACTCCCGTGTAGAATCCTGAGTAAGCAAGGTGGGAAGCACGCTTGTAACCATGCAAATATGTACAAGAAGCTAATTAAAGATGTTAATATGAATGCAATTTCCTTGTAATCAATCGTGAATTAGTTTTAGTTTCTCTCTCCTTTACACTCTATATTGTGACGCCATTGATTGATAATCATCGCTTTTGTGTGTGCACACACGCAAGGTATCAACTGTCAAAATTCTCATGGTTTCTTCAAACAAAAAAGAAAAATGGGGAATGAGTTATATGGACATTGTTCTTGTCCAATACAAGGTCCAAAATAGAAATAGTAGACTGTAAGAACTTTATTTTGCTTTTCCTGAAAACCAACTAGAACCTGCTGCTATATGAGCTACATGTATGAGCTACATGTTTAGCCACCCATGATCGATTGAAAATTAATTCTTACGATTATCTACCTTAATTAATCTTCTCTTGCAAATTAATAACAAGTATGAAGTGAATTAATTACAGTAAAAAAATCAGTTCAACCTAAAAATTTA